TTTTCTTTTTTTTTCGAGCAGAGGCATACCTGTGGTAGAACGTGGTATTGGCATCCGCATTCCGCAGACAGTGTTGTTTCGCTCGCTGCCTCCAAAAAGTGTCCTACTCTGCCTCCAGCTGGCATAACTGTGCCTCAAGACGTTGGAATTCAGCCAGGGAAGCTGGATCCCTACAATTACTGAGAGCCTCCTGATCCCTTCGCATAGGGGTGTTCAATCGGTTAACCGTTCGGTTAACCGAACCGTTTTAACCGAACCGAATTAACCGAAGTTTTTTTTCCTTTAACCGTTAACCGAATCGAAGTTTGCTCTACAGAATTCACCGAACCGAAACTTTTTTCGGTTAACCGATTAACCGAAATTTTTAAAGCTAAAATTTAAAATTTTAAAAATAACACCTAAAATAATAAATTCAATTAAAATAAAATACATATCATAATAAATTCATAACAAAATATACAAAAACAATAATTATAAACTCCAAACATCCATAACTTCAAATTAGTATATATATATATATATATATATATATATATATATATATATATATATTAAAATTTCGGTTAACCGTTCGGTTAATTCGGTTAACCGACCTTTCGAACCGAATTAACCGTTAACCGAAGTTTTAAAATTCCTTTAACAATTAACCGAACCGAAAAAGTTCGGTTCGAAAACGGTTAACCGAACTTTGTCGGTTCGGTCGGTTAACCGAAAATTATCCGAAGTTTGCACACCCCTACCTTCGCAGGTGCTTGATGCGATCCCCAAACTTGTGGAAGTGATTGCCACCCCACGCCATAAGTCGTTGACCACAACACTGCTGATAGGACAACAACCCATTAACTCTCCCCTCCTGCCAGGCACTCTCCACCACACCCCTGCACCCCTCGTCCAGAAGCCAAGCCATCTCGAACTTAAACCCTCTCGGTCCGTTTCTCCCATGCATGCACGTGGCATTGAGATTAAATAAAAGGGCCGAGTAATCTGAAGAACGAGTCTTAAGATTTTTCACAACTACACTACCCTAAGCCTCGCACCAGCCTGCATTTTCCAACACTTTATCCAGCCAACACTTTATCCAACCTTTCTTTAGTCCAAGACTCAATACCCTGACCCTTCTCCCAAGTAAAGGGATGTCCCTTCATAGGAAGCTGGAACAGGCCACAATCGTCAATGACCTCCCCAAAATCGCGTAGGAGACCATCTGGATGCGGATTACCACCCCTCTTCTCTTGCTGGAATAGGAGATCATTGAAATCTCCTAGAACAACCCAAGGGAGCGTAGAATATCTTGCAAGGGTTCTAAGTAGGTCCCATGAATCCTTTCTTCTATTTCTCTCTCGGAAACCATAGAAACAAGTCATACGCCAACATGATCCACTCACTCGACTAACTTCCACATCGACATGATTTTTTAAGAAACTCAGCAGCCTGGCCGTATAATTCTTCCTCCAAAAGAGAGCCAACCCACCACTTAAACCGACATTGTCCACAAAAAAAAAAAAAAAAAAAAAAAAAAAAGACCTTCGAAACCAAGCTTGACACATAGATTTTCAGCGTGAGTCCGTCCCACCTTGGTTTTCATAAAAAACACAAACTCGAATTTCTTACGGGACACCAGGTCCACAACTTCACGAACAGTGCATGGATTGCCCAAGCCACGACAGTTTCAGCTGATAGTACTCATGAGGACAGGCGGGTCTGGGAACCAGAACCCGCCAAAGACAAGTTATTTGACCCTGCATCAATCATAGCCACATCTTCACCGCCTAGCACTATCCTCCTTACCCCCGAACCCATGCCCTCACAGCGACATTTGGAAACAGCAACAACACTCATGTCGCCGTCAACACCACCGCCCACCAACTGCCCAGCATCCGCACTACCAGTCATCGTATCGCCACTGCCGGCGTCGTTAGCAGGTAGCGGTTTACCACCCACTGGAATTAACCATGGGTCTCCAACTGCACGAGGGCCCCTTGCAACCCCCGCCCGTAGCTCCTCTACAAAGGGATACTGATCAACGGGAATCCTCACCTCTCTCGCTTTCAGACAGAAGCGGTGTGAATGCCCCATCAAACCAGAAAAGTAGCAAAAATTGTGCAACCTCTCATACCTGAAGGTTACCCAACATGTCGAATTATCCCTTTTAACAAGCTTCATCCGTCCCTTTAATGGCTGTGATACCAGTAAGGAAACACAAATCCGATAAAACGATAACCATGGTGCTCACATAAACCGCTCATCATGTTTAACGAAGGAGCCCCGAAAATTGTCGATCTACTCAAGAATGACCTGCGAGGAACCCATCGGGAGATCATGGAGCTGCACCCACATGTCAATGGAATCAAGGGCAACATCACCCGGGAGAACCCCATCTAGCACCTGCCTACAAATCAACGCATTATTTTCAAAAGACCAAGGGCCATCCTCTAACACCCTCTACACGTCCGTCTCATTGTAGAAGACAAAAAGGAACACATTCTGCTACAGCTCGAAAACCTGGATTCCTCTAACCGGTTGCCAGACGGACGCCATCACCTGCCTCATATACTCAACATTGATTAGCTTAGTGGTTAGAAAGCGACCAACAACAACCCACGTTGCCTCCACTCCATCGGCAACCTCACCAACGCCCTCCCCAACCGGTTCGAAACTAGCGTCCTCATCCTCTAGGACCAAATCTGCCCACCGAGTTGTAAGACCAGCCACCCTACCCTCTGCCGTCGGATTAGCCATGCAAGACACCTTACTGTCGTAAACCAGCAAACTGATGGAGAAAGAACCGGCAAGTGACCGAAGAAAAATCAAGAAAACGTCGAAATCCTAGCAAAACCATAGGAGGGGAACAAAACCCTGGACAAAGCTAGAGAGAGAATTTACGAGTGGAGTGTGATTATTGTAGGTGAACTTTGTTTTCATATAATCAATTGATTTGTTGTTTGATCAACTAGGTATTTTTCTAGAGATTTAATTGATGGAAAAGTATTAAACCCACTTTGAGTGCAATATGAACATACACCATACATTATTAGACATATTATCGATCATTAACTAATTTCATCCATCGTTTTTGTTAGTATTTATATAAGGCGCCTTGCCTTGCAAGTAAAGTCCTTGTAATCATTCCAAGACGTACTGAACTTTCAAGATTGTTATTTCTACATATTAAACCACTACTGATAGAGAAGTATAAGTTAACCCCACATGAAGACTTGGCCACTCTACTGGACTATGCATTGATTAGATCAATTTATATTTACTGATTCATTTTGCCGGCCAAGATTTATACGCACCAATAATTCTGAAGCCAAAACCCAGCATTCTGACGGCTAAGAAAACAGGCAAACAATGAAGCTCATCATCTTATTAGAATTAACTATTATTTTGCATGTTTTTGCTTCTATAGTAGTTTACTCCTCGGAGGCTAGACGACTACAAGCCTGCAAACCAAGTGGTCAAATACAAGCCAAAGGCCCCCAACCAGGATTGTGCAGCCAGGTGAACACCACAGATTGTTGCGTCCCGGGCAGATTCTACCCTCTTTACAAATGCTCCCCGCCGGTTTCAAAAACCACCGCGGCAGTGCTTACGCTAAACAGCTTTGAGAAAGGCGGGGATGGATCGTCGCCGTCAGAATGTGACGGCAAGTACCACTCCGATGACACGCCGGTGGTTGCGCTCTCGACCGGATGGTACAGTGGGGGAGGGAGGTGCCACCACAACATCAGCATCAGTGGCAATGGCGGCAGGAGAGTTAATGTTTTAGTTGTTGATGAGTGTGAGTCGACTATGGGGTGCGACGAGGAGCACCACCATCAGCCTCCTTGCTCTAACAACATCGTTGTTGCCTCTAAAGCTGTGTGGAAAGCCTTAGGTGTGCCTCTAAATGAATGGGGAACCTTGGATATAACCTGGTCTGATGCTTAGGCTCAATCTCCTGCTTCTGTTTCTACATGTTTTCAAATTTCAAACTCTTTGGTTCTGCTAAGATTTTCCTTGTGCGTAGGGAAAACAACACTTTTGGGTCCTGAATCATTTCACTTTTGAAATTTTGATAATTGATTTGAACATATTTAGTTCCTTAATTGTTCATTATATTACACTTTTAGTCCCCATTGTTATATAATTATCAAATTTCATTAACAAATTCTTTTTTGTGTAGTTAATTTTGTCAATTAGAATCAATGTCCACGATTAAAGTTTTGCTCTCTCTATGGGAACATTATTTTTATTAGTGAATATTACTTCTAAATTATAAAAATAATCATATATGTTAATGGAGTTTGACAATTATATAACACTAGGGTCTAAAAGAGTAACATTACGAACAATTTAGGGGCTAAATTTGTTTAAATTAACTTAGAGGGATCAATGTTTTTAAAATGAAATAATTTAAGGGCCAAAATATCAAGTAAATCTCATCTAATGAAGGTAGGATTCTTTTTCCCATGTGATTGGAAATATATGAAATTTATTCAATTATATATGTATTTATACTTGTTAGCAATAGGTTAAAAGTCTCTTATAAATATTAAGAAATTTGTCTCTCATACCATTACCTAGATAACCATACTAGCTATTTATCAAATAAATGTGTCTTTCTCAACACTTTTTTACATATATACTTTTTGAATTTTTAATATTCTTGTTGAATATTGAAATTTTTGTATGATTTATTAATTTAAAAGTAATTTATTAAACACTTAATTATTAGTTATGTTTTTTCTTTTCTTTTTAGTGTTTGTTTATAGCAACGCTATATTAGAGAATTTTAAAATTTTCATAAGAAAGCTTAAACGATTCAAACATCTTAATTAATTTTTTAGATAATTTAATTCTTATGTTTGTAGTGTATCACGAAACGTGTTAATTAATTTTTCCTACAAAGTTATTCTGATCAAATACATTCCTCAAAAATATTTTCTCGAGAATTTAATTGATGGGAAAGTACTAAATGTCATCTGAGTGAAATATGAGCATACACCATACATTATTAGTAGGAGTGTTAGCGAATAGAGCTTTCGGTAAACTACTTGTGTTCGTGTTTGGTAATCGTTCGTTTATTAAGGTAAACAGACATAAATGAACAAATTTTTGTGCTTATTTAATAAACGAACAAAGTTTGAACATTTGTAGGCTCGTTTGCTAAGAGTTCGTGAACAAGCTCATTAGTGTTCGTTTAATAATGTTCATAAACAAGCTAGTTTAGTGTTCCTTTAAGTAACATTCAAAAATATACTCATTTAGTGTTCGTTTATGATTGTTACAAAGAAACTCATTTAAATACAATTTATTTTATTTTATTTTATTTATCCTAGTCTCCCTATGATTCTCTCTTCTATATATTCCCTCCGTCTGTACAGTTATAATTACTGTTCATCTAATACGGTTTATATAGTTCTCATCGGGTATCAATAGTCTCATGTTCGTTTCTTGTTTTCTCTCAATGGAACCCCAGCACAGTAATGTTGACGGATCTGTTAACTCCTCTGAGCGGACCGTTTCTGATGCTGCCATTACTTTTCCCACTTTTATGGTTGTCAATTCACTTTCTACTACCCATCACTTTATCAGTATTAAGCTTACCCACAAAAATGTCTTATTTTGGGGGACACAAGTAGTTCCCTTTTTAGAGGGACACGAGCTCATAGGGTTTATTGATGGGAATAACCCATGCCCGCCAGCCTTCCTGTCGGTTGTCGCCGACAGCGAACCACAACCAAACCCGACCCATGCCGTGTGGTATCGCCACGACAAAACATTGATGTTATACATCGCGGGAAGTTTGGGTGTTCATCACTCTCCGAAGAAGTCATGCACCTCTCCGTTGGACGTTGTACATCGCGGGAAGTTTGGGTGTTCATAGAGCAGTCTCTAGCTTCTTCTTCTCGTGCCCGATCACTTAATCTCTTTGGTCAGCTACAGTCTCTCTGTAGGGTGACTCCTCTATTGCTGATTATATTGGTTGTGCATGTGTTGTTATGGAAGACCTAGCCTTGGCTGGTCGACTGGTTGGTTTGGACGAGATGAAGTTGTACGTGTTTCGTGGGTTACGGCCAGGATATTAAAACCTAACGGCATCGCTTTCAGTCTGTGGACACTCTTGCAGAATTTGCCTATTTTCTCGACGCACAAGAGTTCATTCGCGGCAACGACGGGTCCTCCCCTACCACCTTCACTGCTCAGCGGGGAGGACAGACCCGTCGCAACAGAAACTGAGACGGAAATCAAGGTGGCGGTGGTCAAAGCGAGCAGCATGGAAATGGCAGATGAGAGCAAGGCGGTCGAGGCAACGGTGGCAGCGGCGGCCAATCTAAATGTCAAATTTGTGGGCGCAATGGTTTCACTGCTCTTACATGTTACAACCGCTTCAATAATAAAAAATATTCTCATCCTCAAGCCAACTTGACATATCAAGATAATAGTTCAGACATTAATCGTTCTCAGGTTTGGATTCCAGACACGGGAGCAACCAACAATGTGACCCTAGACATCACAGCTCTATCTACGTCTGAGGAATATGTTGGTAATGACACATTGCGTGTTGGTGATGGTAAGGGTTTATCTATTATTCGTGTTGGCCATGCCTCCTTTAATACCCGATCTAGGTCTTTTCAATTATCAAATATCCTTCATGTTCCTAGTTTGTCTATATCTTTATTATATGTTCAAAAATTTGCTTCAGATAATAAAGTGTTCTTTGAGCTTCACCTTTTTTTTTTTGTTGTGAAGGATATCAATACCAAGGAAATTATGCTACAGGGCAATAGCTCTGGGGGTCTATACAAGCTTCCTATCATCAGTTCGTCTCCTTCGGTTTTTCTTTCTGCTTACGCATCCGAGTCAGTGTGGCATGATCGCTTAGGTTATCCACATCATCGAGTCTTACATCGTATTCTTCAATCTTGTTCGGTTAGTAGGTCTAGTAAATCTATTCCTTGCAATTCGAGTTTATGTAATGCGTGTCAGGTAGAGAAATCTGCTCGATTCCCACTGCCACGTGTTGAGTATTCCAGTTCCAATATTCTTGATTTAATATACATAAACATTTGGGGTCCAACTCCTTTGTTATCCATTGATGGCTATCGTTGCTTTGTTATTTTCATGGATGATCACTCTCGTTACACTTGGTATTATCCCAAGAAATTAAAATCTGATATTTATGCCATCTTTGAAAAATTTTGTACTATGGTTGAGCGTTCCTTCAATAGAAAAATTAAATCCATTCAATCTGATCTAGGAGCTGAATACAAAAAATTACACCACTCCTTTATTCAGTTAGGAATCACTCATAGACAATCTTGTGCCTACACTCATGAACAAAATGGTCGTGTCGAAAGAAAACATAGACACATAGTTGAAACGGGTCTAACTCTCGTGGCTCGTGCCTCTGTTCCGTATAAATTCTAGGATTTTGCTATTGACACTACTGTATATTTAATTAACAGAATGTCATTTGCTATTTTAAATAACTCCAGACTCTAGTCCTCATCTTAAGTTGCATAAATCCCCTATATCCTACTCTTTTCTTCATGTCTTTGGGTGCCTATGTTATCCCTATTTGCGATCATATAATAGCCACAAGATGTCCTACAGATCTTCTCCATGTGTCTTTCTAGGTTATCCTAAGTTATTCCAGGGTTATAGGTGCATGGACTTACAGACTAATAAGGTTACTGTGTGTAGACATGCGTGGTTTGATGAGGATATCTTTTCCTTTGCTACTAAAAATATTTTACAGACACCACAGGCTCATCAAACCACTCAATGGGCAGAATTGATCCTACATGTAACACCCCAGATTTTCGAAACTTTTAAAACTTATATAATAAAGGTAAATTCTCATTAAATCCCAAATAGAGCAGTACTAAACATAAGAATACGGGGTGTTATGCCACATCTGAACTGGAGAACTCAGATACACAGGCTAAACTATCTAATTATCCTTAAACAACATCATTACATCATTACGGCACGCAGGCCGAATATGAAACTATCTATCTAAGCCTTGGGTCCTCTAGCGCGCTCCGGAGCTAATCGTCTGTGCCTGAAAGCCAAATATATCTGTTCAGCGAATAATGCTAGTAACCCACTCTAACGCGTTGAAATACCGTATAAGTATATATATATATATATAGTCTCAAAACCGGAATAGACTCGACAGATAGGGATAAGCACATTCAACAGTTATAACTAAGCATATAAAGATACTAGCATATATCCTACGGTCACATATTCACTTCATCTTCATTCATATCGTCATTCAATTCGTATCTCATCACACAAGCACACTTTGGTGGCGCCACAGGACCAATCGCATGCCCATACATGAGGGTCAGCGCATATAGCTCTGACACGGCCCCGCAGCACCCTACCTCGTATCGCAACACGAAGGGGTCGATCGCAACCGACCGATGAACCGCAGCTCATCATAATGTTTGATCGCAACCAGTGGACCACAGCCCAAGAGTGATCATCTGACCGCAGCTAGGAATATGAACCGCAGCTCATGTAAAACGTTTGATCGCAACCAAACAGTGGACCGCAGCCCAAGAGTGTAATTCTGACCGCAGCCAGCTTCTGAACCGCAGCTCAGGAATAACCAATTTGATCGCAACCAAATTGGGGTATCACGCACACATAACACAAAGCAAGCACATGCAACCTCACATTAACACATTGGGGGAAAGGGAGAAAAACGTATAATGAAACCTATGCGTGGTCATCCACATACTAGGATTAATCCTAAGGGGTTCATACTTCTTCCTCCTAGGCCAACCGGATACCAATTCGACTAGCATGCGATATATAAGACTCATTTATCCTACGAATGGTACCCAAAACATCAACTAGACTTAGGCACGATAAACGGAGTCCATTGGGACACCACGAGGGTCGGGGAAACATCAAACGGGGAAGCCGAAGTCCCAAGTTGGGCAAGTTCCAGCGGGTAGCCGGTGGGTGGAGAATCACCCGCCGGCGATAAACCTCCGGGCAGCGGGTGCCCCGCGGGCAGTCGTCTGCCCGCCAGCTGCCCGCTGCCGGTGGCGTCGTATTTCGGGCAGCGGGTAGGTGGCGGGTCCCCCTACCCCCCACTGACTCTTTATCAAATTAAACGTCCCGGGATCCTTCGTGGAACCCGAAACCATGCTTAGACGCTTTTAAACGTAATTGGTGACACCACGTAGACAATTAACGGATCAAAAGCAAGAATCATATAACACACATCCTATCATGATTTCTAAGTATAATCAACCCCCGAACATGCGAATTCCCACCCAATTATATCAAGAATATCACAATACGAATTTCACGATTCATCCTAGGGCTCTAATCATATTTAAATCATCAAGATCATAGTTCATCTTTTAACATCAAGAAACATCAAGATTTATCAAGAACATCACATAATCATCAAGAACCTCTTATCATCATCAAGATCATCAAGATCCCACATAAAATCATCTCACCAATTATCAAGATCATATCATCAATAACATAAACGATTCATCGAGACACAAGCATAGAGAAGAAGCCAAGGAAGGAGATTATAGCAAAGAAATTAGGTTTTGTTAAGACATGGGTTACCGCTCAGCCTTAATTAATTTCCTTGGCTATGAAGGGTCTTTCTTTAAGATTTCTCCTTTCTTGATTTCTCCTAAGGGAATTCTTGGAACTTCTTGTGTGGTGTGAGTTCTAGGTGCCTCCTATGCCCCCTATTTATATACCTAAGAGTCCCAATTGGGGTCTAAATACTATGGGCTTGCTAATTCTATTCCTTATAGGACTAAGGAGTTGGTTTTAGGGGTGAGGGTCCATGGATTATGGTTGACCCTTTCTTAGTTGATTAATGGGTTTTAATTCTCTTTTAGGGTAAGTGATTAAATAATATTAGTTAGGGTTAGGGGTCGTAACACGGGGTGTTGCACTACAGCACACTGCCACTGTTGTGATGACGGCTCCAAAGGAGGAACCAGCGGGTGGGGAGATCCGGCCAGTCCCACCCGCGGGAGACCCTCACGGGTCCGCGCATCCCACGGGGGCTCCACAAGAAGAACCAGCGGATGGGGAGGTCCCCCAAGTCCCACCCGCGGGAGACCCTCACGGGTTCGTCCTTCCCGCGAGGGCTACTCACGGGCATAGACAGCAGGATGCGACGCTTTCTTCTGTCTCCACTCGACCCAGGGGGCGTCCGCGACGAAAGTCAGTAAAATCTATCACTCGGACTCATACGATGGAGACTCGCAGTCGATCTTAGGCACCGCCCACAGCTTTGAGTGCTCAGATTTGTCCTCCAGATCCCACTTATTACACTCAGGTAGTAAAACATGCAGAATGGCGTGAGGTTATGGACCAGGAATTCAATACCTGTATACAAAATCAAACGTGGTGTCTCGTATCCTCTCAGACAGGTATGAATATTATTGGGTGTAAGTGCGTCTTTCGCACAGATGGTTCTATTAAGACTTGAGAGACACAAGGCGAGATTAGTAGCAAAGCGATTCAATCAGGTACTAGGGCAGGATTTCTTTGACACATTCAGTCCAGTGGTAAAACCCACTACTGTCAGGTTACTTCTTTCCTTGGATTTATCTTCTAGTTGGGTTATTAGGCAGCTTGATGTCCACAATGCTTTTCTAAATGGAAATATGTCTGAAACGGTGTATATGAAACAGCCACCTGATTATATTGATGCTCAGTATTCCAATCATGTCTTCTTACTTAAACGTTCTTTGTATGTCTTAAAACAGGCTCCTAGAGCTTGATTTAATCGTCTACATACGTTTTTACTTTTTGTTGGGTTTCAAGCATAAAAAACGAATATGTCTCTATTTTACTACTCACAAGATTCTGCTTATGTGTATCTCTTGGTCTATGTTGATGATATACTTGTGATGGGAAGTAATCAGGATCTTGTGGCTCGTTTGATAACAGAATTATCTACTGCATTTAAAATTAGAGATCTTGGAGAACTTGGTTTCTTTGTTGGGATTAAGACAATTAAATGTGATGATGAAATTTTACTTTCGCAACAGAGATATATGAATGATATTTTGAATCGTGCTGGAATGGCACAATGTAAAGCATTATATACTCCTATCTCTGTTTCGAAATCTATCCCCTTCAGTGCAGATATATATGAGGATCCAACGCAGTACAGAAGTTTGGCAGGAGCACTCCAATATCTAACTATCACATGCCCAGATCTATCATTTGCAATCAATCAGTTATGTCAACACATGCACGCTCCCACAGTATCACATTGGGAGCACCTAAAATGAGTCTTGAGGTAAGTTAAGGGAACAGTTAATTTTGGCTTGCGTATAAGAAAGTCAGTATCAAGAGAACTCCATGCATTCTCAGATTCTGACTGGGTTGGATTCCCTAAGGACCGCAAGTCCACTAGTGGTTTTGCTGTGTTTCTTGGATCTAATCTCGTCTCTTGGGTCTGTAAGAAACAAAGAACCGTTACTAGATCTTCTACTGAGGCAGAATACAAAGTTCTAGCAGATGTTTGTGTTGAAGTAACATGGGTAATCACTGCTGGAAATTACGGAATTTCCAACCACCTGAAAGTGATCTTAAATCACTTTGAAAGCAAAAAGTGGTCGGAAATTGCAATAAAGGTTTTTCCGGATACCAAAAGTGGTCGGAACAAAGCTTTCGACTTGATTTAAGATCACTTTCAGGTGGTCGGAAATTTCATAATTTCCAGTAGTGAATCTCTTTGCTGCGTGAGATTAAAGTGTCAAGTATATATATCTATTCCAAAATTATGGTGTGATAATCTTGGTGCTACTTATATGTGTGCAAACCCCATCTTCTATGCTCGCACCCAACACGTGGAAATTGATTATCACTTCGTTCGAGATAAAGTTGGTTATGGAGACATTCAAGTTAACTTCATCTCTACAAAAGATCAATTTGCAGACATATTTACTAAAGCTTTACCTAGTCCTAGATTTTCTTTTCTTAGAGACAAGCTACATGTTACTAGTATATCATTTGCTTGAGGGGGAGTGTTAGGACTAGTATTAGGACTCTATGTATTTGAGTCATATCATGACTCATTATTCTAGTCTCTCTATGATTCTCTCTTGTATATATTCCATCAGTCTGTACAATTGTAATTACTATTAATCTAATACAGTTTAATAGTTTATACACTTCTCACCATTAGTACTTTAGTTTAGGCGTTATTAAGCATATATTTAAAAAAAAAAAAATCACTTTTATTTTTCCTACGGTCCTACTCCTACCAGAGTAAACCCATTTGATACTTCTCACCCACGAGGGCTGATTAGGCAAATTATATCATGCACCACGGTGCATGATCAATCATGCACCGCGCGTCTTTTTTTTTTTAAATGAAAATAAATCGTGTTTGTTTTTTCGCCGTTTCGCACCCATTTGTAAAAAGTAACCCTGTTCTTCAGTGTCATTTTGTACACACTGCAGTTTCAGTTCAACACAACTACAGTTTCATTTCGATATAACTATAGTTTCATTCGATATTTATAGACTCAAATATGTGAAAATGTTATTTAATTTTATTTTATATACACTATAGTTTCATTAAAACACAACTACATGATCATTTTGATATAATTACAGCTTCATTGTACAATATACACTCAAATATGTGAAATGTTATTCAGTTTCATTTTATATACACTGCAGTTTCATTTCACTATAACTACAGTATCATTTTGATATAACTGCAGTGTCGGTTTAGATATAATGTAGTGTCAGTTGGTATTTAATACACCAAACAAGCGGACTCTGTTACCTATAACGGCAGACCGTTTCTTTACTTAAAGAAACGGCACCGTTTTTTACCGCGGTGCACATGCACCGCGGTCTATGATATAACGACTGGATGTGCACCGCGGTCTATGATATAACGACTGGGCTGATTATGCACAATTCGTGCTCCTTTTGGAAGGAGTCGTAAGCTCCGTCCAGAAAGAGCTTTGCTAATTAGGATGAAAGAATGAAGAAAATATAAACAGATTATTTTTTGTTAACAAATGAATTATGATTTATGAAAATTACATGTGTTTATTTAGTTAGCATTTATGATCAAGAGCGTTAATGAATACGTTCGCGAATGTTAACGAACATGTTCTCGAACGTGTTCGTGAACATTAACAAACACTAATGAACGCTTAACAAACGAACAAGGACATGATTTTTAAAAACCATAACAAACGAATATGAATACGAACACTTCAAAAATCTTACCAAACAAAAAGAAACAACCTATGCTCGTTCATATTTATGTTCAGTTCGTTAATAGTCCTATTATTATTAGACATATAATCATTAATTAAATTCAGCCATCGTTTTTGTTAGTATTTAACTAAGACGCCATGGCCTTGCAATTAGTTGTGAAATCATTCCAAGACGTACTGAACTTTCAAGATTGTTATTTCTACATATTAAAACACTACTGATAGAGAAGTATTAGTTAACTGTTAACACCACATGAAGACTTGACCACTCTACTGGACCATGCATTGATTAGATCATTTTATATTTACCGATTCATTTTGCCGGCCAAGATTTATGCACACCAATTAGATGATGATTAAGTTCTGAAGCCAAAATCCAGCATTCTGACGGCTAAGAAAACAGGCAAACTATGAGTCTATGAAGCTCATTTTATTAGAATTAACTATTATTTTGCATGTTTTTGCCTCTATAGTTTACTCCTCGAAGGCTCGAGTACAAGCCTGCAAACCAAGCGGTCAAATACAAGCCAAAGGCCTCAACCTGGATTGTGCAACCAAGTGAACACCACAGATTTGGGAGAAGAGATCAAGATTCGAAACTCGGCAGCGGCAATGTAGGGATTATGCTCAAAGTGGGCAATTACTTGTGCACCGACATTTGGCCTTGTCTGCTGAGTCACTGAGTTATGGTGATTTACATCATCTGATCTCACATGCTCTATCGGATCGTGGCGTAAATGACCCTTGGAGTTTGGGATTCAACCTTTTGGAAAAAGATTGTTGCTTCCAGGGCAGATTCAATTTTATCCTGTCTATACATGTTTTCAAATTTCAAAACTCTTGGGTTTTGCTAAGATCTTCCTGTAATATGTATCTAAACTTGCTTCAACAAGTGTACTTTGAGAGTATAATTATAATCCAAATATGGAGAACAACAAAATATTATTACAAGGGTTCAATCTGACAAGTGTATATGATCTAGTAGCTTAATTAGTGTCCAAACTATATATATGGTGAGCACCAATAAATGGGCTTTGATGCTGAATTATACATACCACCTCTTCATTGAGATAGCGGGTTTGCAGAACGAAAGCACTCTTTCGTTCGCCCATAGTAGATTGGTTTGGTGCCAGGATATGTTACAAAATTCCACCCAAACGCTGATCCACCAACAATATACGTCCCCTGATCAAGATCGTCTACAGTTTGCTGGCTTGGGGAGAGATTTCCCGATAATACTGGCTTATCTTCAGAAGGTTTGGCGGATTGTCTCTCTGGTGGAGGCTTCTCCACGGGTTTCTGTCCATCCCGCGTATCTCCTAACAAATTATGGCCTTCAGCTGCCTTCTTAAGTTTCTCTGGCGGTGGTGCTTCTGCTGTCGTCTCTTTGTAAAGATCCATCAAAAGATTCAGCTCTGCGCATAAATGTATACACAGTTACACACACATAAGCATGCCATCATTCACCTTAGGTTGTGTAAAATTGAATATAATACTCTGGAATGACCATGACTCATGGAGAACCTGTTGGGCGTCGGGCAGGTCGGCCAAATTCAGCCCCTGCTCGAATCGAGATGTGGCACTGTGGCTCACCATGGTGGAATGTGGTTAAATGGTTAATGTCCACCTACTTATCACCAATTGGTTTTAACTTTTATTTTAAGAAGATATGACAACCAGATAACCAAAGAACTGTGTGGTTAAGCATGTAGCGCTGACATCCAATAGAACCCAAAAAAAAAAAAAAAACACACCCAGGAAACATTTGGGTCATTGGGTGGTTTCCTTTATCATGAAAAGAAGTTGATACTTGATAGCAAACTTGATAAAATTCAACAACATACTAAAGTCTGACCAATTTCAGAAGTATATAAGATGCCAAAAATTCTGAGAAATGAATATCAGCTGCAGAATGCACTTCTCAGATTGATAATAGAGATGCAAGTAGTTTAACGCAATAGTGATGAATCTCATGAAAAGCTTCCAGATAAAGCGTTAACACTAGAGAATAAGTCCCATAAGAATATATGATAGAAATACATTAGCAAAAGCTTACGTTGACGAATTTCAGTAGCAGCCTTGCAATTCCGGAAGTCTGGACTACGGAGAACCTTCAAGAAAACAATAAGAAACTTAAGCCTCTTAACAAAATACTTTCAAATGAAATTAGCAGAAAGTATTAAACTAAAGCCTTTTAAGCCCTTTACCGGCCTTCACCCAACAATCCCCCAGCCACCGGGTGCTAGACTTGGCCTTTACCGGCCTCCGCCCAACACCATATATAGGAATATATCCACATCCAAAGAGAATGCTTGATATGTATCATGCCACAATTTTAGCTTCAAAGAATCAGACTAAAATGCGATTACAGCTTTTTCCATTGTATCGATCATAAAGACCCAAATCAACTATTCCCTCATAAATTAAGACACACATCCTAAACAGAGCCCCCAAATTCAACTAGAGAAGCTTGCGCGTTCATGCAATAGAATTACTGCCAGGCACCATTAATCACTAAATTATGACGCAAAGGAGTTCTCGAAAACAAGATCTTCTAATTAGAAACTATTCGACATTTATCCATTGTAGCCAATAGCATTGTTGCTTCCCGCTCCTAAACTAACACTGCAAGCAATATTGTTGAATAGCGTTTGTGATTTAGACTGTAGTGGCTTTAACTCAAAACAAAATAGTCACACAGGAAGGTTAAAGAAAACAGATGTTTTAGTAAACCGAAACGAAGAACAAAAATTAGAAATATCACAAAAAGGAAACTAAAATTAACTCAAACTTGTACTTTCCATTGAGCAAACAAGTTAATCATAGTAATTAACAAGAAAAAAAGTGGATATTGCAACCTAATAATCTCCAATTACGGGACTATGAAACTGCAATCGGGCTAAGGGCAAATAATCTTGCCCCAAAGTTGCAAAGCATGATTTTAATTTTTTGCCCTATCCTTGAAATCTAGATGAAAACAATTCGCTAACAAAACTCTAAATTCATGGTGAAACAACTGGGCAAAAAGGACAGATAACTATAAGAATTGAAGTGCCGACAGCAAAAGAAACCCATAATTGAAAGAAAACCTAAAATTGAATTCCAAAATTTCTTGGAAATTAAGAGAGTTTAGTGTGCTTGTACCTCAATGACATGGGGTCGAAGTTCTTTGACTATGGCTCGCATCTTGAAGTAAGGAGTGCTCTGCAAATGTGCGACGTCAAGAGGCCTCTTTTTGGTTTTTGGCGGCTGAGATAATGGAGGAGCAGACGGCGGTGCCGGAGGAAGTGGCGGATCAAGATGGGCAGTTTCGGGTGGGTGAGGAAGGGCGGTGTGGGTGATCGGTGGGTCAGATTCACCCATGAATAGTCCTTTCTGAATCTGAGGAGGCTTTTCCCAATTCAGTGTCAGTACTCAGTGAGAATCTAAAGATTCATTTCCTTACACAAGATATTGCAGATAGGCTAATCCACGCTCTGCATTTGAGCAGTTCTACCATTTTTATATACTCAACAATTATTTTTCAACATGTTTCCGTACAGAAAAAGTTCACCTTTAAAATATGTTTGTACGACTGAACTACTCTGATGTTTGGTTCACAGGGAGGGGTTAATTCTATTTTTTTCCGTATATCTCACTTTCAAAAATGGGAGAGCTATTAATGGTATTCTCTCCACCACTACTAATCTTATTATAAGGAGAGTGGAGGTGAGTCCGTCATGTCTTATATGTGCCTCTTTTCATACCATGCATTTTCTCATTGAGTGTGAGTTTGCACAATTTGTTTGGCATGAGTCCCATCTCCCCATTTCTTTTGTGGTTGGGAATTCTTTTTCTGCTTGATCCCAAACTGCTATGGTTGTGTTAACTAGAGACATTCTTGTGAAAGTAGTTGTTGTACTGTATCACATTTGGAGGGCACAGAATGACGCGGTTTGGGATGCTAGCATGTAGCGGTCGAGACAGATTTGGAGGGTTGCATCCATTGTTGTCATCACCTGGGAGCTCGCTACTGGAGCTGCTGCCTCGTCGACTGTCGCCGACTTCTACCTTTCCGGCACGTCAGCAATCGCAACTGGAGAATGGCGCACTGCTCTGCTATTTCGACGCTGGGTTTTCTACACTGCAAGTAATATTTCAACATTTTGCTTTTTTTTCCTTTTGTTCATCAAGTTTGCATTAAATTGCACAAAGACTAGATTGTTTCGGCGGTTAGATTCCAACCTTTTTTTTTTTTGTATGTACCAACAATAGTAAAATGCAAAACATGTTACCTTAAAAGTTAAAGTATCAACTATCATTCTATCAAGTATCAACTATCAAAGTATCAAGTTATCAATTATCAAGTATGTAAGTAATGTAACTTCTAAATAAAATAACTAAGTAAACAAAAATTAATTAACCCCTTCAAATGTACTCCAATAAAAATTAACTAACCCCTTCAAATGTACTCCAATTCTTATCACAACCCGATGAACTTGAAGTAAGAGATAGAATCTTCATAGCAATTCTTTTCAAGTTTGGAGTTCCCAAACCAAAAGTTGACCACCATGCACATTGCTACATCAAAGCAATAAAAATATTAATTATAAAATATGTTATATCTTATATAGTCATATTATCATATGTATTAAAAATTTAAAATTTAAAACTAGTATGTAACTTATTTAGCCGAATCATATTGCTCATTATTAGACTCACATCCTTTTAGTGCAATTGATTTTCCAATTATGCCATCTTTCATCTTATACTTGGACAATTCCTCATTCGATACCTTATTTTGCATTTCTATATCACCATAATAATATGTCTCGAGGAACTCAATGCATCCAAAAGAAACAACATCATCCAAATGAAGCAAAGTATCCTTAAAATGGTAATAAGGGTTCAACAACAACAACAACAACAACAACAACAACAAAAAAAAAAAAAAAAAAAAAGTCATCAAATGAAGAGGAGTATCTAGCCTATTTTTCATCTTCTCTTCCATTATTCTAATAATAGGCTTATAGTTTTTTTCAACTTCATTCAATGCCTTCTTAATTAATGTCTTCTTTGGCCTGCATTAATGTCATCAAATGAAGAGGAGTATCTAGTCTATTTTTCATCTTCTCTTCCATTATTCTAATAATAGGCTCATAGTTTTTTTCAACTTCATTCAATGCCTTCTTAATTAATATCTTCTTTGGCCTGCATAAGCACACCATAAACAAATCCCATTGAAGGTTTCTTATCCTGATCAACAATACGAAGCACATTCACCAACAGTGCAAAAACCTTCAAGCATAATGCAACCCCTTGCCAAAATGCATGACTCAAGACAATAGAATAGGCATGTTTCTCTTTAACTGTTTTGGCAAACTTACATTCATACCACTCATTGCTTGTAAATATAACCGTTAATTCAACTTTCTTACCAGCTAAACTCGGTAGAGTAAGAAATGCAAAAGCAAACCTAGTCACACCTGACCTAACCATGTCACGCTTCTTTGTAAAAGATCTCATCATTGCCAAAGTTTTATGGTGTGCATAGATGAAGATAGTCAAACTTTTTGCTTGATCAATAACTCTTTTAAACTTTAGTAAACCTGCAAGGCATTCAAGTATTAAAGATTTAAAGATTTACGGAGTATCATATAGTCTATTAAAGAATAAAGATTTAAAGATTTCACATACCTGCAATGCTTTTAAGCATTAAATTAATGGAATGAGTTGCACAACAACTCAACAAGTCCAAAATATCAGTGGCATCTTCTCCTTCAACAATTAAGCAGCTCCCGTGTTGTTCGAGGCGTTATCTGTGACAATTTGAACAACATTCTCCTCTCTAACTTGTTGAATGACATGCTCCACATACTCAAATATAAACTGACTTGTGTGTGCCTCACTTGAACATTCTATAGAAGATTTAAAAAAAAAAAAAACAGTGCCCAACCTTGAATTGACACACAAGTTCATTATGCTTCTTCTCTTCCTATATGTCCATGCATCGGTCATAATTGAGCATCCATTTAGTTTCCACTTCACGGAGGAGGCCGATTCCAGCATTCCTCAACATGGTCGAGCGCTGCCTAATCGGTGCCTAGGCGCGATTTTTGCAACATTGCTTGGTTTTTGATATGAGTGACCGGGTGCCACCCAATCTGAACACCTTGATAACTTGATGGTTTATCCTTCAAAAAATTGACAACTTGGCTACCAAAAAATCAAGTAAAAGTTAAGTAGGACAATCGATCCCCAACCATAATAAGTACCTAGCGGCCAAGGCTTAGAAGGTCACTCGTTCAATGCCAACTCAATGGTAGAGATGAGTGATGAGTAAACATAATCAATCGATCAACCAGACAATACCATGCAGGTAGGACCGGAACACTCGACCAGACAAAACCTCAAACAAAAAGCCCGAGAAAAAAAAAGTGAACTTAATCACACACTTGATCGGGCACATGTAGGGTTGGGATAACTCAACCGGGCAAAACCTCAAACGGAAAGGACGGGAGGTAACAAGTGAACTTAATCACATACTCGACTGGGCAAGACCATGCAGGTAAGGCCGAGATAAACTCAATCGGGCGAAAATTCAAACGGAAAGGGCGGGAGACAACAAGTGAATTTAATCACATATTCGACTAGGCAAGACCGTGCAGGTAGGGTCGGGATAACTCAACCAAGCGAAACGTTAAACAGAAAGGCCAGGAAGCAACAAGTGAACTTAATCACATATTCGACCGAGCAAGACTGTGCAAGTATGACCGAGATAACTCAATCGACCGAAGCCTCAAACAAAAAGGTTGGGATTTTTTTCAATCGGGCCGAATGATTCCGAGTAAGGTCGGGAGTGGTCTTACAATATTTTACAATGAGACAAAAAAAAAACTTTGATTTAATGGTTCTAAATACAAGCACCATACCAGTGACCTTACATTACTTGTAAAATTTCATGAGGTGTGATAAGTGCCAAAGATACTACATTTAGTGAGGTATTTAGGAGGCATATTGTGCTATAATTGGAGTCCTTTGAGCCTTCTACATGCTTAGAATGACTTACTTTGATGGAATTTAGGAGCAAGGACTAATTGTGATTGCCTTTGTAGGAAATAACACATTGTCATTTATAGGGCATTCTGGCGACAGTTCGGTAATTGGAGCATACCTTGAGCTAGGAGTGTCCAAATGAGATGATTCGAGTGGCTATAGTTCAGCAACTTCAATGGCTATAACTTTGATGAAGAAAAGAATGGATAATTCCCAACAGGAAGTCCAACACATCGTCAAACGCACGTTGGCCATGCGTTGGAGCGAAGCAGAAAGTTCAACGCGTCGTCCAACGTGCGTTGGAGAATGCGTTGGACGGCTAATTTCGTGGAAAAATTAGTTTTCAACCTATTTAAGGGCTTGTATTGGGACTATTTTAGGGGGGATGCTTTAGAAATCAATTACACACTTTAGAATAGCTTAGATTAGGGGTTTTAGAGTATATTTCCATATTTGCTATCTAGAAGACTCATTGCTCTACAATTTCTCATGGATTGCTAAACACTTTATTGAAGACTTGGGTAACCTTTCTTCTTGCTTTTGATTTCATACTTAATTTGTGTTTGTGATCTATTAATGATGATGAGTTGCTAGATTTCTAGGATTTGGATTGGAATTGATTTATGATTGTGTATTCATGCTTTGTATAGATTAGATGATGAGATTTGATGTATTGTTTGGCCTTAAATGCCTATGTTGTAGAGGTGTGCATATGGAACTCTCTCCATTGAGAGCTCCAATGGAGAGGTGGGTGTGAGAGTGGGAAAGGAGCAAGAGATTGCCCTTTCCTTAGTCTTGCCCTTACAATTCCCAACTTACGATTCGAGAGGGCTAGGTTTGGGGAGGGGAAGGTAAACCGCCCACCAAGTGTTTGATAGAATGTCTACCCGACTTAGGAATTGAGAGTTTAGGTTCTACGCAACCTAATGATAGTGCCATAGTTCTCCCTTAGGATATTCAAACCTTGCATCACATTCTTGTCCACGTGACACTGATGAATGCATGATCACGAATCACTTTCCATCCAAATCCCCGTTTTACTTATTTGCTTGTTTTCCTTTATTTCCTTGTTTTCTATGCTTGCTTACACACACAACTTTCCATACTCTTCTCTTGCACCTAGCCTACCTTGTTTACACATTGTGATAGCGGATTGTCTTGCACTTTTCTTACTCCGATTTGTCATCCTTGAGTTCGACACTCGGGGGTTCCACAACCTTCGTTTACACTCCAGATTTCCATCCCACTAAACTAGCAAACATCAAGGTGATCAAAGTTCCAAGCTCAGTCAACCAGTCAGCTGGAAAGAGTCTCTAGCTTGTAAGTGCCGGGTTGAATGATTGCCGAGACTTTGTACAGTCCTTCCCATTTTTGGTGAATTTCCCATGTTTAGGGTTGTTAACGAACCGAACATAAATGAACGGAGGTTGCTTGTATTTGTTTGTTAAGAATTTTGGAGTGTTCATATTCGTTTGTTAAGGTTTTTGAAAATATTGTTCGTGTTCGTTTGTTAAGCGTTCATTAGTGTTTGTTAACGTTTGTGAACGTGTTCGTTAACATTAAGGAACACGTTCATGAACATGTTCGTTTACGTTCATGAACACGTTCGTGAACACTTAATAATCAAACACTTGCATATGTTCATAATAACAATTCGTTCATGAACAACAAATAATCTACGTTCACGAACAATAACCAAACAAACAACACAACTACAAAACTATTACTGCATTATTCACTCCCAGGGATTAGACCGTCTATTATAAGTTCGAACCAACGAGACCCTGAGATCTTGTGGATAGTGAGCGCTCATGACGTCGTTGGCGAAGGGGGTAGAGATTAGCGGACTGGACGGTTCCCTGCCCGCATTACTCTTCTCACGAAGCTCACATTGTAGATGATCTATCCTTTCTTGCATTTTAGCTAACTGATGACGAAGACTTCCTTCCCAAATTGGGCGCCTCTCTCTCTCTCGACCGACTGTCACCCCAACTAGCCAGCTGGGCTCCTCTATCTTTATCCCTAGATCAGGATGCGTTTCTTATGCTGCTTCCCCCCGTCTTTGCAATCCTTTGGGATTTTGGTCTCGAGTGCTCTTAGTTGTCCTAGGGTCCTAACCGGGACCTAACACTCTTTCGGATACAATCAAAAACACTTTTACACTTAGTGGTGTTGGGTTGTCGATGATCTTCATGTTCATCTTAATCAGATCTCCATGACCGCTCTCCCGATTGAATATCCTCTAGGTCATGACCTTGGGGTTGTGGGTGCGAATGTTGCCTCTGGGACAATTGCTGCCCTTGCTGTTGTTGCTCTACTATTGGGATTTGGGGGTTTGCGATCATTTTGGGGGGAGGAGGGCGAGGGGTGGTGGATGCCATAATGTAGTACCCGGGAGTTTGAGGCCATGGTATATCTAGGTGAATTCTTGCGGCTGGCAAGATGCCCCTTGTTGCAGTGTCCCTTGCTGACATTGTATTGGGGTTCCTCTAAGTGCACACGGTGTCGGGGGTAACATGGTGTACGCCATTGGCATATGAAGGTTAGTGTTGGTCATGCCATTTCAAGGTACTGAAACGACTAGGTGGACATTTGCTCGTCCGACATGTTGGTCGGTGTTTTGACCGATCGGTTGGGTATGTTGTGTATTTTGCCCTGCGTGGTTTGGGGTGTGCTCGTTCATCTGACCTCTCGACCTGCCCAATTGTCGACGTAGATCGTCTTCTGGGAGTGTTCCGACCATATTATCAGGGTGATATTCAATATGGTGGGTTGACCGTTCCCTTTGCGGCTTTGATTCTGACTTCTCTTGCTGTTTGCCATTTCGACCAAGCAAGGTAGAATTTCATGTAAGGAAAATGGTAGTAGGACATGTAGAGTAACTCGTTCTGGTCCCCACAGACGGTGCCAATGATAACTTAAATTAGACCAGGGTCACGACTACGCTACGTATATAGTGAGCAAGTAAAAAGATGCTTAGTCATCCAATCGATTAGACCGGTCAGTCGGTCTGGGGGTGAAGACCGAGTGGACTAAGGCTTTGTAGTATTATGAGTAGAAGACGATTACAAGTAGTATTGTGTTACACTTTAGGGAGTATCACAAGTAGTGTGATATTGTAATTCCCGCGCGCTGTTAGTCGCCTTCTTTGCAGGCACACGTTGATCTCCTTTACTTGTAGTGTAGGGTTGGCCCTCCAACTTGCCTAGTGGGTCACGTAGCAAGTCGATCGAGTAGCTTGCCGGACCGACCGAGTGGGATTCTGCCGGTGCGATGCCATGGATAATCCGGGAACGTTTTTATCCATCACTAGGCTTTTCAATCTTCACAACGAGCGATGCAATCGGTCACGAGCAAATAGTATCCGACCGACAGGTGGTCCTATCGGACCGACCAGGTGATCTTACGGGTAGTCCTTGTGCGTATTTACCCGTCAAATCACGAACTGGAAAACTGTATCATGAACCGTGAATCGGCGATTTGAAATCAAAACAACAACTAGCATTAGCTTAAAATTATAATTATAATAGTTGCAAATTGTGTGTGTGTGTGTGTGTGTGTTTTTTTTTTTTTTTTTTTTTTTTTTGTATTTATTCTGATTTTCACATATAAGTAGATATGACCGCGATTCGGTTATGATTTTAAATCGCCGGTTCACGGTTCCGGATCCAGTTTGAACCGTTGGTTCAATTTTTTTTATTTTATTTTTGTTTTATAATTCTATTTTTATTTTTAAAATAGTTCAAATTAAAAAATTAATGTATTCTTTTTCAATTCGGAACCAAAACGGGCAATTTCGATTTGCGATTTTAGTAGATTGGAACCCAACTATTGGGTTCCGGTTCTAAATCGTAACTAGAACCTTTCGGTTTGGTTGCTACAGTGTCTGATAATGTTTGAACCAAACTGTAGTCATTCTTACATATAAGCAATAATTTGTTAAAAAAGAAAAATAAATGAAATATTTATTTCAAGGGTAAAGATGTCTATTTAACATATAAGAGGGAAAATTGTCACTTTTAGAATAATTGAAGGGCTAATGTGGATGCATAATAATTCATATGAAGTGTGATCATTCCTACATATAAGCAATAATTTATTGGAAAAGAAAAATTAATGAAATATTTATTTTAAGGGTAAAAATTATATAAGAGGGAAAAATTATCACTTTTAGAATAATTGAAGGGACTAATGTGGATACATAATAATTCACATGGAAAAATTTTATAAGTATATAATTCAGGGAAAAAATGTCATTTTCCCTAAAGAAAATAAACAAAGTAGAAATTGTTAGGTTGACCATATAGATAACTTTGGAATAAAGTTTAAATTGGCCACTGAACGTAACTTGAAAATGCAATTAGGTCAAAAGTGCAATTAGGCCACTGAACACTCCAAAAACATGCAATTAGGCCACTGAACACTCCAAATGTATTCAATTTCACCGGATAGCAGGTTACGTTCAATGGCCAATTTGAACCTTATTCCGATAATAAATATGAAAAATAAAATAGAATAGAAATAATTTATTATTATTTTTTAACAAGTGCCAAAAATCTTGTGGTCGAGCTATTACACTGTAATGAGTAGTTCTCAACAAAAAAATCAATAGTTCACTTTCACTAAGGCTCAAACTTACAATTTTCCATATAAAAAAACAATTTAGTACCAGTAGGCCACAATGTTCTTGATCAACAAAAAAAAATCTTTAAATTGTAGTATATGTTGTTCTATAAGTAATTTATTATTTAATTTTACTATTTAAATTTATCCTATCATAAATCCCTGGGACTTGGCCACTTGCGCATTGGGTACGTTAGTTAATTCATACGGAGTATTACACATTTTCAAAAAACTCCAATTTTATACATTTGGATAGCTCTGCGCGCGCCTAATACTCTTCCATCGTAATGCCATAAAGAAACCCTAATACCTAAACCCCTCCGGCCGTCTCTTAAAGCCCCACTTTCCAGGCGGAACCTTGGCCGGTCTTCTCTTTCGGATCCAGCCAAGATGTCGATGTCGAAAACTTCCAAGATGCTTCAATACATCAATTATCGGATTCGGGTCACGGTCCAGGACGGCCGTCAGTTGGTCGGAAAATTCATGGCTTTCGATCGCCACATGAACCTCGTTCTCGGAGATTGCGAGGAGTTCCGGAAGCTTCCACTGACTAAGGGCTCGAAAGAAGAGCGCGAGGATCGCCGCACTCTCGGCCTTCTCCTCCTCCGTGGCGAAGAAGTTATCTCCATGACCGTTGAGGGTCCGCCTCCTCCCGATGAATCCCGCGTCAAGGCAACTGGAGCTGCAAATGGCGTTCCCGGGCCCGGTATTGGTCGTGGCGCTGGGAGAGGGGTTCCTACCGGGCCGTTGGTTCAGGCCCAGCCCGGACTTTCTGGTCCGGTTCGCGGTGTTGGTGGGCCCGCTCCGGGAATGATGCAACCTCAGATCTCTCGTCCTCCGATAAACTACCCTCAGCAACCGCCTGTGATGAGGCCACCCGGTGGTGGACCGCCGGTGGCTCCTCCACCGCAGCCCTTGATGGCAGCGCCGCAGCAGTTCCGACCACTTCCTCCAGGGCAATTCCCGCCGCAGTTTGGGCAGCGGCCTATGATGCCGCCTCCTCCTATGATGAGAGGTCCACCTCCTCCCGGAGCTCCGCCGAGGCCCAATATGCCTGGTGGTGGCCCACCTGGACAGCCTCCTCGCCCTGGGATGCCGCCTCCACCTCCTGGTGGTCAATTTCCTGTCTTTGGACCTCCCCGTCCGGGAATGCCGCCCCCACAGAATCAGTAGTTGTGGGATTCAGTATGTACAACCGAATCTTCTATCTTTATTGCTTCGAATTCTCCTGTTGATGTTTCTGTTGTATTTGTTTTATTGGTGATAATTAAACCTTTTGAGTTCAGCAAAATGACTAATGGCTTTTACAAAGAGTTGTGGTTTGTGAAATATGCCCAAAAATGTCAGCATTGTTGTCAATTGTAAACTCAAAAGGTAATATCTTTGTGCTAAAAAAAGAGTAATAGATTTAAGTGTGAGGTCTCATATGGTGTATGGAACAACATGAAGGACAAGAAATGATGCCCAAGTACATGGTTAAAGAATGTGATTAGTTGCCAAAATTGATGGTTAATCAGCTTTCACATCACTTGGAATGCTGTATATGTTTTATGACATGATCTTACTTTGCAATGAAACTTCAATCTACTGACCTTTTCCATGCTTGGTCCTGCATTGATAGGCCTAACTATCTCTATTATTTATGTTTTCATGTTTTTCTCGTATACAACAGAGTACTTTTTACCTTTCTTAATTAGAAACTTTACTTAAATTTGTGAATTGAGATTTTTGCCACCATGAAGGAATTCTCCATTAGAATGCCTGAAAGGGTAATGGAGGTGGATTAGCATGCAAGCCTATAGAGTAGGATTCTTTAGCCCTCACTGGTTTAGTAGACAGTATTTAGGAGAAGAGACTAAGGTTCGAAGTTTGAACCTCGACAACGGCATTGTGGGAATTATGCCTAAAGTAGGTAGATCCCTTGTACAATTGAGTCACCCTGATTTACATCCTTCCAAATACTTTGTCGGGCTGGAGTATGAAGGCCTCTTGGAATTGGGATTCAAGTTTTTTGGAGAAGAGTAGGATTCTTTAATCAGTGTTGCTCGAAACTAGTGTTGTATTTAGAACCACAGATGTTCTTAACTAAATGAGACTTTTGATCAATTTATTATGTGCATGATGATAGAACACGGTGAAGATAACTATTCTATTTTCATATTCTGGTGCCCAATAATTGTCGACGTAACTCTGTTGTTTTACTAGAAAAGTCGTGAAATTTTATTTTACTATGGAATAAAATGATACTGTACTAATTCTTAGGTTTAAAGACATGTATAGGAATATAATCCAGTGTTAGATTATTCAGAATTTGCTGAAATTTATACTTGGTCTGGACTATGAGATTATTTCTGATAACCTTTCTCCTGTATGATCTCATAATGTATTTGTAATGTTTGTTATAATTTTTTTTTTTCTTTTGGCGGGTGCAGGTGCACTACAGAACTTGTGTAGCAAGTGTTTTTGTCACCCTGAATTAGGGAGCTATTGCAGTTTGTACTCAAAATTAAGGTAAAAAAAAGGGTGAGAGGATTAAGAAACTGGTAGCAAGTAGTGACCAGTGTTGTAAAAATCGGCCTAGGCGGCTGACTAGGCGCTAGGTGCCCCTAGGCCGAGGTGATTTCAACTCTAGGAGCTAGGTTTTTAGTCGGCCGGCCGACTAAAACGCTCTAGGCGTCGAGTTGGGCGCCTAACTCAGCCTAGTCGGTGTCCAACTCAACCGAGTTTGCACTCAACTCGGCCGAGTGGATCTTTTTGCTTGTTCGGCTATTGCTTTTATATTCCTCTAGTCATGCATTCAACTAATTATCTAACATATGCAATTGACTAGTTTGGAGGATTATAACAATCTAACAACTCTTAGCCCTAAGTGGAAAAAGTGGAGACGAAATACTTGAATTACTTAGTTGTCTAGGTGGCGCTTAGGCACTGCTTAGACGCTAGGCGCCTCCCGGACATCCAACTCGCGCCTAGCGCTTTCTGCAACATTGGTACTGACATAATTTATCTTCTCATTTTGATTTCCTTTTTGGTACATAAAGTACCTAATACAAATATACAATTTAGGGATATGTTTTTAGTTGAAATTCATGTAGGGATGAGAATTTTCTTGTTTGATATGAGGGATTAAGTTTAGAATATAACATCTATTCAGTACTTTGTAAATTGTACGGAGTAATATGTATTGGAAATCTATATTATTGCAAGGCACCATATGTTGTGTTTTGTTAAGTGTTAACTTTGACCCTTCTTCCCATTGAACATCTAACTTTTATAGTTAAATAAATGTTGGAAGCTTTGAGGAGCTACTGATGGACAATGTTAATAGTCTTTCATAAGTGCACGAATTGCTTAGTAGTATAGTGTGCAAAAACAAGAGTTGATCTCACAAGAAAAAGTCTAGGAATTAGACATGAATGGAAGAGCGCATGCAAGTAGTTAAACAATGAGAAATGGTAGTAAGAATATTAATCAATTACAAAAATAATCTTATGCAATTTATCAACGGCGTCTAGAGGTAATCATGTATTCTTGATTGTTCATATGTCTACAACATTTATTCAAACATCTAAAAACCCATTAAACATAGAAGAATTAACTAAGTTATAGTAAAGTTGAATAAATGTTGTAGAGAGGGGGTGGGTGGGGTGTGCTGAAAATTCAGTCATGCTTTACAAAGAAATAAGATATTCACTAAAAGAATAAATTGAATGCACAATAGAAAATACATATAAATGATGCATTAAAATGATGTACCCTATGCATTAAAATAATGTACCTAATGCACATAAATAATGTACCTGAATCAGAATGACAACTTTTAGAGAAAAAGGTACAAATAATTTTCAATCAGTTTGAATATAATCAAACAGTGAACCCTATTCACAGGAGTAATGTATGTTATTGCATAAAAATAATGTACTTTATTCACATAAATAATGTACATTCAAACAGATTCAATATAATGAAATATAAAAGTTTATACACACCAATAATGTATTTTATGAACAAAAATAATGAGTTATATACATAGAAATAAGGACCCCAAAATGTTTTGTATACTTCAATCACTTGATGCACGCTATTTGAATATATAATCCTAACAATGTATAATACGATTAAAATTTTGCTTGAATAATCCCTAAAAACAAGTAAGAACCTTAGGTAGTCAAACAATGTATAATACTTTATGATAATGTACTTTGCACACAAAAACAACCTGCTCGAAAAAATTCATATAAATAATGAATAATATTTTTAAATTCGACTTCAATAATCCTTAAAAACCCTAGGTCAAAATGTACTTTTATTGGTGTTGTTTGAGTTCGTAATCGTAATGTATATGTTTAGAATAAGACTTTCACCTTCAAGAAGCTCAAGTATTGTGCAACAATGGAGTCAGATGGTTGTCTTCTTGTGTCTTTATAGCAGCCTAGTTGAGGAAGCAGTGAAGAATCCTAAAGAGAAGACGATTGTTCTTCGTTTGAAAAATCGCAAAGCAGGTTTTATATATATATATATATATATATATATATATATATATATATATATATATATATATATATATATATCCCTTTTAAAAAAAGACGCACGACGTGTGTCGCGCATCTAATGGCGTCGTCTCTCCTTAAGTGGAGAGACATGTCGTTTTGGACCATAGTTGTGTAGACCATGGTCCATGCAATAACAATTGCGTGGGACAAATTATTGTGCGATGCGAATGCTTTGATTGATGTTAAATTGATTTCTCCAATTGATGTTGATCATAGATATGTAATTCCAGGTTTGTCTTTTGCGTAATTTTTCTAATCTATATCGCATTGCAATAGATGTATTGTGTCTAGGGTTTGGTTATTTGATTGGACAAGACATATTATCTTTGTTCATAATGTACATTATTTTTTTGCACATAATGTACATTATTTAAGTGTATAATATACATCATTGTTGATCATTTATGCAATGTAAATTATTTTCAATTTATGGCACTTCTGGGGGTGTAGTTGATGAGAGTTTATACCAGTTCTTCTAATGTTATAGGTGAGAGTTCTTTTATTCTAGTTTTTTTTTTTTTTTTTTTTTTTAAGAATTATTAATTTGTTGATTATTAATTAATTATTGTTAGTTGTGTTTTTAATGATATTGATGGAATGATTATTATTTTATTATTGGTTTTTGTGTTTATGTTATGTTACAATAAAGTATTTGTATATTCTGTTGTGAATATTGTGTTTTTTATTTTTATTTTTATTGAGGTTCATTAGGTACATTATTTTAATGCATCATTTATGTGTACTTTCTGTTGTGCATTTAGTTCATTGTTTTAGTGATTTTTTTTTTATTTTTTATTTTTATTTTTATTTTTTTGTAGAGTATGATTGGATTTATTCAACATACTCCACCTCCCCTCTACTTAGAGATCTAGTATTCATTAAAAATGATCTAAAAGTGTTATGCTACTAACTTGTTAGTTGTAGAAGAAATATTGTATATGCATTTTATTATAGTTGTATTGTTTTTTGAAATTTATAGCTAATCAAGAGTTGTTGGGGCTTATATTTAGTTTAATTGAAGAATGATATAATTTATATAATAATTATGTTTTTAGATTGAGATTTAGTGTTAAGGAAAGGGCATGTAGTACTATGTTATTCGTAGTTAGACTGTTAAAATGGAGAAGTTCTACTGTGCAAAGGCTGATTCAAATCTAACACACATAAGTCTTCTAGGTCATATTTAAGGGTAGACACACAGACAAGATGTAATGCATTTTGTCAGTTTGATGTGGTCTATAATGGACATTTGATGGTGTCAAAGACATGTAAAAGAGCATAATCATAACTTGTATCCGTCTTCTAAAAGCTATTTTCTTCCGCCACACCGAAATGTTGGTGATACCTAATTAAAAGACTTGGAAAGGAGTGAGGTTGCATTGTCGGATGGCATTCGATTTTTGAAACACCAGTTTGGAGGTTCACCTTTTGTTGGCTTTACACATAGGGATGCATATAATTGACAATTTTTGTTAAGAGTTTAGATGACACAAATTCTAATTCACTAATTCAGATTTTCAGGCAAAGGAATATTGAATGCACATGACTTCTTTTTTGATGTTGAAGTGCATTGTGATGCAAGATTGTGTGGTTTTGTTTTTTGTTTTTTGTTTGTTTTTTTTTTTTTTCGAGGGATGCAAGAATGAAGGAAGATTTTGGTTTGTTTGGGGATTTAGTATATGACACAACGTATCTTACTAATAAGTAATGTGGTTCCTTTGTAAGAATGAATTATCATTGTATGAATGTAATTTTTGGGTGTTGATTTTTGTTAACTGAGAGGGTCAGTTCATTTGTTTGATTGTTTAGAACATTTTTGCAAGCTATGGATGATAATTGTCCATAAACAATCATGACTGATCAATGTGCTGCTATGTTTGCTTTAATTTCTCAAATTTCTCTAAGTGCAAGGCACATACTTTGTATTTGGCATATTGGGAAGAATTTAAAGAAATATACCAAAAGTTTAAAGAATCAGAAAGGCTTTTTCCAGTTATTTAATTTTTTATTGAAGAGTTTAAATTTTATTGGACTAGGTATGTATACTATTAAATTTATCATTCTTTATGTTTTTTGTCATTATTGCTTTATTTGTCATTCTAGTTACATTTTAAACTTAGATTTTTTCCTTGTTCTCTTTGTGTGTTTCTTTTGTGGCATGTAGTATTTTGTGGTTATAAAATGAATTGGCATACAATTTTATTTTTGATGAGTTGGAAATTGTAGTGTTTAGAAAATGTACTTTATGTGTTCTAATAATGTACTTTATGTATACAAAAAATTTACTTTTTCTAGTTACACTTAGGTTTGTTGTTTTTAGGATGGTGGCCGAGTATAAGTGCCATATAAATGCATGGTTAGAAAAATTGTATGATATTAGGGAGAAATAATGTCTTGCTTTTAGTAAAGATTACTTTTCTAGTATTATTTTTTCTTTCCAACGGAGTGAGACTACAAATCATTTAGTTTCAAGAAGGTTATTTAAGACAATTGGGTTGTTTGATTTTTATAACTCTTTTGTTAATGTGGTTTCTGATTGGAGGAGTAAAGAGAATTGGGAAGATGTGTGGTGTTGTCAAGGGTTTCCTACAATCACATTGGATCATGTGAAGCTTCTTTCACATGCTAGAGATGTATACACTACTGGGATTTATTATTTGTTTGAGCAACAGTTTTTGAAAGGTGTTGCATGCCATCAAGAGATTGTGGTAAGCAATGTTGATGATTTTAAATATCACATTTAGCGCTCGGATATTAACATTATTTTAACATGAATTTTGTTTTAAGGATATGAACATATGTTGTAGTGGTAAGTTTTTCTCAGAGATGGGTATTGTATGTTCACATTGCTTGCATATTTTGAACATTTACTGTGTTGGAACGATTCTTGAAAAATATATATGTAAAAGGTGGTCAAAAAAGGTGGTTGAAGATAGGATTATGGATATTGTATCTTGTTCTAGTATGTTTACAGTTGCTTCTCCAATTTGGGTTATAGAAATGGGCAGAAAATTTCAAAGGTTAGTTCTAACAAGTCAAGACAATGCAAAACTCAACAAGTTTGTGAGGAAGTTTTTGAAGATGCTAGAAGAAGGATTGAAGGTGGGGTTGGTCCAAATGCTTTTATGACATTGAAAGATCCATGCAAAGTGGTGGTATATAAAACCCTTTACGAAGTGGTGTGAAAGGTGACCGTAAGCAAATGTTAATTAGTACATCAAGTAAAAAGCTGAAAGAATTATGCAAAAACAGTTGAATTTAACACAAAGGCTACAGTCCAATCTTTTGTGCAGTAAGTTGTTTATGATATTGTTGGTAGTGGATATCTTGTTTATGATAGTGGTAATACTAGTTCAGAGTTAGTTTGTGTTAGGTCTACGTCTCAAAAGAATTCAAAATTTTGTTTACTTATATACATGGTTGCAATAGGCGCTAGGCGCTAGTCGGGCGGTAGAGTAGCGCCAAGCGCCTAGACTGCCTAGGCGGGGCCTAAGCGGCCTAGGCGGCTAACTGAAAAAATGAAAAACAGTGCACGTGTGTAGGTGCATATATGTCATATTATGCATATATATATATATATATATATATATATATATATATATATATATATATATATATATATATATATATATATATATATATATATATATACATAGGTGCATATATGTCATATTATACATACATACATACATAGGTG